CTTTTGCTCATACTTTAAAACTACGATCTAGTGGACCACCTGGTCCTCAAATTTTTGCAGGGTACACATATATCTTTGTCACATGTGTGAGTGTCTCGACAGCAGATAGCGGCTTCCTTTACTGCTCCCAGCCTTAATTTTTGCTGTTGTTCATTCTTATCAAAACGTTATATGAGGCAGTTGAAAAGTTTAGTCATACATATCTTTTGGTTTTAAGTAGATTGTAAGCTTATGTTGCAGCAGACTGATAAATAAATCTTTTCTGCGGGCCATTGGAATACCGCGTCTTTAAATAACCTGAATCTTTTGGGAGGTTAGTTTCCCCTAGTGAGCTTTTAAGTAGTTTCCCTCCTCATTCCTAATATAGCAATGGTGTTATATTTTGATAATTCTGTTTTTATTTCCGTGAGACCCACACTATGTTATTTTTGGATTGATCAAATTTTGAGTCGACCTCAGGAGTGCACCTGTATGTATTTTATATGGAAAAAAACAACTTTTCGTGGTAATGGTATGGATATCTTCAAAATCAATATTTTTCGATCGGAAAACTTCAGGGGACTTCCGATAACTACACAAAATTGTTTATTTAACCATTTTTTAATACTAAAGATTTTTTATTTATCCCCCCCATTGCATTTTCGGGCATTTTCTAGAGGTTTTGGCGGACCTGTAAAATATAATTACTTTGACAAAATGGTTAAAAAAAATAATTGGGTATTATTATTGGGAATCTTGTGAATAGAAAAGGAGTGCTCCGGTTGAAATATAATGATTTTCAAGAATTCTATACCATTTCTACGAAAAGTTGTTTTTTCCCATATAAAATACATGGAAAACTTTGAGCGCTTTGAGCGACCTCAAAATATTTTTTAATTTCAAAATAGGAAAAAGGGGTATATTTTTTTCGGTATAGAATAATCCTAGGGGGTGTGAGCTTAAAAAATCCTACTTTACTTTTTTCACATGCATGTTTGCACCACGCTAATGTGCATGCATATATCGATGGCTGTGTGGAAGATCGACCTATCTCGGCAGACAGTTCAAAAACGCCCTCTCTCAGAAAGCTTTTCAAGAACGCCCTACTTCAGAATTTTATTGAAGAACACCTTTCTCTAAATTTGGTTGAATGACGCCCTATCTCATGATTCGGTTCAAAAATGCCCTATCTCATATGAAAATACATTGAAAATAAGCTGAGATAGGGCGTTTTCGAATAGGCAGCTGAAATAGGGCGTTTTTCGACCAAATTCTAAATAACGGCGTTCTTGAAACGTTTTTTTGGGAAAGAGCGTTGTTGAAAAATTTTCTGAGATTGGGCGTTTTCGATATCTACGTATATATCGTTTGATATTGCAAAGTAGTTGGAAGCTATTGTTATAGTTGTAAATAGGTTAATTGATTTTTTTTTTTATGATTGACTGTGCAGGCCGAAAAATATCCAAGAAAAAACCTATTTTAAGCAGGGACCGAACATAACATTTATTGATGAAAACAGTCATTGAAAAATTCACTATGAAGGAAATGTTCTACAACTATGTGACACATACCAATCGATTTCTTTTTTCACCGAGACTCAAATTTGAAAATAAATTTTTATTTGCAATTTTTATGCAAAATTTAAAAATAACAATTATTTTTGATTTTTATAATATAAATCTAAAATAACAATTATTTTTCATTTTTAGCTAAATAATCTGAAAATAACAGTTATTTTTGATTTTTATATTATATGTCATAGATAACAGTTATCGAAGGCTTTTACTTATAAAAGTCATCAATAAAAAAGCGTTGTAAAATCAGTCAGTCACTGTTAGTTTAAAAAGTCATCAATATAAATCAGTCACATCAGTCATTTTTCACAGTTAAGAGGGTGCTGGAGAACAAAAGTTTACTACGACTAATACAAAGTCAGTGACTGATTTATATTGATGACTTTTAAAATTAAAAGTCACTGACTGATTTTTATATCCGAGCGCACTTGTGCGCAAGGGTATTATAACTTTGTTCACATAATGGTTGTTTGTAGCAGGCAAAACGAATCGAGATAGATATAGACAAATGTATACATAAATGATCAGAATGAAAAGATAAATCGATTAAGCGTTGACTGTCTGTCCGTCCGTCCGTCCGTCCGTCTGTGCACACGATAACTCGAGTAAAAATTTAGATATCTTAACGAAACTTTGTACGTGCACTTCTTTCGGGCGTAGGACGGATGGTACCTCCCACATAACGGTAATTACTCCCACATAACGGTAAATACGAAAACTGCGATATTTTAGCAACTACTAAAGATTATTCAATCAAAATTGATATTTACAATAACTTTTAGACGAGAAATAAGAATATTATAAATTTATGGAAAATGGGCACAGCCACGCCCACTTATGGTTACATGTGTATATCTTGGTAACCGCTCCACCAATTTCTTCCACACTTGGCACAGTTGTTAGCCTTTCTATAGCATACCAAATGGCCGAAAATTTTTAAAATCGGACAATAACCACGCCCACATCCCATATAACGGTAATTCAGAGAAATACGAAATCTTCGATAAATCTGTAAATATTAAAGCTAATTTATTCAAAATTGATGCGTGCAACAATTCTATACGAAGAAATACGTTTATGATAAAATTTTGGAAAATGGGCGTGGCACCGCCCACTTACGACCACATATATGTATCTCGGTAACCGTTCTATCAATTTGTGCCAAACTCGGTATGGTTATTGTCCTTGCTACATAAAAGCAAAACGTTGAAAATTATTGAAATCGGACTAAAATTACGGCCGCTTTTCATATAACGGAAAATTTTAGAAATGCTTGAAACTTCAATATTTCGAAATTTAAGGACGCTAATTTACTCAAAATTGATACTTACCATGTAGCGGTAGCTTTCGGAAAGGTGAAAATCATATATTTAATACCTGCGCCGGGTATTTAATGTTCGGCTCCGCCTGAACTTAGACTTTCTTACTTGTTATTTATGACTTTTATATATAAAAGTCTTCAGTAACTGTTATCTAAGACATATAATTTAAAAATCAAAAATAAGTGTTATTTGCAGATTGTTTAAATAAAAATCAAAAATAGTTGTTATAGAGATATTTTTTAATAAAAGTTGTAACTGTTACGGTCCCTGATTTTAAGCGCTTAAATAAGCACTAAGACACTGGTAAATATGCTGGCAAACATGCTCGAAAAGTGACTGTCGCACGGTGTAACAAATTTCGCAGCGCCTGCCAAACCATAAGTAGACCATGATAAAAGTCTGCTATCAGATAAACCTACTGAAAGCTATATTCCCCAAACTTTAAATTATCGTTCGCTTGAAACTGTGTATCAACAAAAAGAACTATACATATATGTAAGTAAAGAAAACTCTCTGTTCAAACTTACTTTGAATGCTGCTTTTGAAATATGGCTTCAGTTCTTAAGTTGCTTGTCCTTGTTGTATGTCATTTATGTAGACACATACACATATAGTATGTGTGTAAGTATGTGAGATGCGAGTGAGTAGTAGTATTTGTTTTTATGCTAATAGTAGTTGTTCAATTTACATATATTTATTTGTTGGTTCTTGTATGTATGTAGTAGCAAAAAAAACAAACGGCACTGGCTTCAATGTGCCTTAGGTAGGTAAGCACAGTTGCCAAGGAAATTTTCATAAATCTATGCACAGGAATTTTGAACACAAATTTATGAGTATGTTTTTAATTTTTGTATTTTCAGTATGTAAAATGCACGATGATGAATATTTTTTTTTGCAGAAGTTTGAATGAGACGAATTAGAGTTTACAAAGTAATAGCCAATGATGAGATTTAATTTCGATGTGTTATTTTGTTTTTTATTTATATTTATATTTTTTTGTAGAATTCACAGAGACACTGGAAATGGTAAATTTCAATGGTTTTAAATTTTTTTGTTAGGTATTTTTTTTGCTTAGTGTCTAGAGTAGTGCGCGAGTTATAGGTGATTGACGTATACAAACGTATTATTTGCTAGGTATGCAAGTAGTTAGTACTGGTTTAGTTGGTAATTTTTAAAACTAATTAATTATAATTTTTTTTTTAATTTTATCTAATTTTCTTTTTGGGTTTGTTAAATATTAATTCCTGTGTTCTGCATTTAAATCTAATTTTTTTTTGTTAGATTTTTTTAGTTTTTAGTTCTCATAATTTATTGATTGCTGTTTAGCGTTAATTGCAATTTGTCAGATTTGCTTAATATTTTAGGATTTCTATTTTATTGTTGCACTTTTAGCTAAATTTTCTATTCAAATTTATTTGCTGTTGTTGTTGCTACTTTCTTGTAGTGGTTTTTTTCTTATTTTTAATGAAATTATTTAACGCAACTTAAGTCTAGTGAACACAATAGCAATGTTGGCTCTAACGACTGCTGCAGCTGTTGCTAGTCGCTGATTGAATGATATTTTAATTTTAATTTTAATTTTAATTTTAATGCAATTTTTTATTTTTATTACTAATTTTTTTTTTCTACAAATTTATGATTATTTTTTTCTGCAGTTTGTTCACAACACTGGCTAAATATCTTTTTTTGTCTTTTAAATCTCCTACTTATGTTACTGTCAAAAATCCGCTATAAATTTACTTTAAAATTTTCACATTTCACTTCACAATTGCCAAGCGCTTCGCCCCTGCGCTTATGTTGCTGCTGCCGCTGACTGCACGGCTATGGCATGACTGTTGCTGTTTACTTCTTTACTTCAATTTACGAGCAACTTGTTTTTCGCAATTTCTCAACTCATTTCACTCGGTGCGAGCAATTTCAGTGATTTGTTGCACGTTTTATGTGTGCCACATCATTTGCTACAAAGTGTTGCAATGCAATGTATGCAAGCAGGCTATCTGTGTGCGTGTGTGTGTGTGTGTGTGTTTAAATATATCTAGTAAGTAAGTAGGGACGCGAGACGTCTGCGAGACTGGTTGCAGTTAATGAAATGTCGCGAATGTTGAACTTTAATAGCCGTTTTTTGTGTGAGACACGCGGACAGTCGTAAAGAAAGATAATGCACTTGCAACAGTTCAACGCACACAAAATGTGACAGGCAGGCATGCACACAGGCGCTTACACTAACACAAATAGCAATTAGTTGCACTTTACTGCGAGCAACACTCGCGATTTTTTCTTCTGTTTTCTTAAACCCTCGCCGAGTTTTTTCCACTACATACACTGCACTTTGTCACTTTGTTGTCACTTTCACAACAGCTGTTATGCTATTGTTGTTGCTCTGTTGTTTTTCATGCAATTTTATGCACATTCGCGTTGGTTCTTGGCACGCTCGCTACGTTTGCTACGGTGTCTTGTGGGAGACGCGCGCTCAATTTTTGATTGGTACGTGTTGCACACTACTCGAATCTTACTTTCATCTCGTGGTAAGCACTACTTTTTTGTGAAATAAAGTGCTGGGAAATATTATAAGAAAAATTGTACTATTTATTATGCGCGGCACTACTTTTTTCCAAACCTTACGTGGAAAATCGATAGGCGAAGGGCGTAAAACAAACCTAACTATTTTCACTAATGACACCAAAGCATTTGCCTGGCTGCCACGCCGATACACTTCACTTACACGCTGACTGATGGCGCATACAAAATGCCAGCCATTACTGCCAAAAGAAGGCAGGCAGCCTCAAAGCGAAACCCAACTAGAGTTACTTGTCCTCATTTCACGAAAAGAAAGCGTTTCCGCGTATGCGAAAAAAATTAGCAATTTGAACAGCTTTCACGCACTCGCTCTTTTTTTTTTCTACAACTCTATCTAAAAGAGCAAATTTTGTTTAAATTATTTTTTATTCGATTTCATTTTTCCTGCCGCTTAACAGAAAGTAATTTTCAGTATTCCGCAATTTACACACACGCGCGCGCGTAAAAATTTTTTAATCATCTAAGAAAACGGACGAACACGGAATACATCAGCGAGCGTATACTGACAGACGCACCACCTCGATTATTTCGAATCCGGAGCCATACAGTGGCTCAGCGGATAGATTCGCCAACGCTAACGCTGCTGCCTACCACCACTGGCCCTCTTCGTCCTCGCGCTCGCCACGCGCTTCGTCGTCGTCGTCGTTGTCATCGTCATCAACATCAACATCGTTGTCGGTGTCGGTGTCGTATATGTATATGTATGTCTCGTCGCCGTCGTCGAGCCGTTACGCTACGAGTATACGATGTTTAACATCGATGTGAACGCCGAAAGTCTCTTAGCATCGCATCCTATGCCAGGGCATCGCTCCGCACCACAAAAGCATCGTCGTTGCTAGTCCTTTGCAGGTAGGCGCGTACAAATTCTCAATAGTTCAGTGAAAAATTTTTCGTTTTTATTTATATTTTCTTGCCTATGCTGCCGCTAAAGCGAAGGATATATGCTAGAAGAAAGCAGTTACGCATACAATAAACGCCACAAACGTATAGTAGCGTATGCACACACACACAGACAGCCATCGAGCTACATCAACATAAGCCATATAAAATCTCAAGTTGGTTGAGATTTTCCGTCGAAATTTTAGGTTTTTGGAATTGCCCATTTTTTTGTTAATCCTGTTGTTTTTGTTGCTTTTCTTTCTATTTAATGCCACTAGCTCTCCGCTGTTTGCAACAATACACTTCAGCGTCGGCAATTATGCGTCGTGTCTGAGCACACAGCATCCACCTAGCCGATGAGCAGGAGCGGTTAGTGAGCACCTAATGTGCGAGCAGCACATGTAAGAAGCAACTCATTTTCTTCAGCAACACGCGCACACGGCGTATACGCAACATTTCAGCAAATACTCCAATAGCTCTCTGCTTCTTCAGTAGACCACGTCGTATGAGTTAATTGAAAATGTTGTGCAACAATGTTGCTTGATACATACGTAGCTGCGAAAACATTAGATTGTTGTAGAAATCATAGAGAAATGTTAGCCAAACGGCTAAAGAGAAAGATTTAAGAAATCAGCAGAAACGTAGCAGCACACCACAAATGGCAGAGCGACTTTTGGGTAATTGCAAATGTTGCTGGAAGCAGTGCAAGAAAAAGTTCACTATGCTGCCTTATCCTCAATCCTGTCAACATTTCCTTAGAATGTGCTTGCTAAATAACTGGTTAAAGTGCTCTTTATTCCAAAATCGAGCATTAACCATTAATGGAATCCCTCTTACACCAGCGAGGCAATTTCATAAAGCTGCTTTCGGAGAGTTTGAAACTAGGAAAAGAGTGGCAATGATAGAGAATTTTCAAATAAAGAGTATTCCACATACATATAAAGTTTAATTTTACTGAACTTGTTATAAACAAAACCATCAACGAAAACCAAAAACACCTCATTATCCAAATCACTAACCGTTGACAATATTTTATGCACTTAAAGGCTGGTTTTCACTATGTCATATTTAGGGACACGAATTTCGATAAGATACGATACCATATCGATACTTTTGGCATTCTATACCGATATTTTCCACTCGATAGTTTTAAAACGATATTTTTTGGAATCGAGTTCCAGAACTCTAGTATTGTATCGAATGTCATAAACACATTACAAGGATAATGTGATTAACAATTCTTCCCGATATAGTTAGGATTGCATGTCCTTTACCGATTTAATTATGGACCAAAACCGGACAAATAGCCGATTTATAAGTCTGAAGGACAATTGTGTTCTACATCAATCGATATACCATTTTTTTAGTCCCACTTACAATGTGTTTTCACTCATTTGACGAAGAATACCATTGAATTTTACATAATTAAAACCAGCCTCAACTCAAAAAATTTAGACCAAAATAAAGTCAGGCAAACATTATTTATCAGATATCCGATTTCAAGAAATTTTTATAATTCATACAGTTAGGAGTCTCAGTGGCTTTTATCCATACAGAAAAAGATCTGTTGTATGAAGTATTGTGGAACGATGTTCCGTCATCCCTTGCCAAATTTGTTGTATGTTTGCTAAACCTCGAAGCCAATGGAATTTGATACTTTTCTGCGGGCTTCTATCCAGCGAGAGCGAATATTTTGCGAGACTTTCCACAAGCATCAACTGGCCTGATACAGATAATTTGAAGAAACATGCTTTGCCAGAAAGTTTTATGTAAAAATTCTTTACCGGAAAGTCCGAACAAAAACATTTCCTGATATATGTCGAAGATACGAATGCTGTGGCTACGGAAATATGATTTCGACTTAATTAAGCAGATCGTCCATATTATTTTAAGCCAAGTTATTTTTCAATAAGAAACATTTTGGCGCAACAGTTTCACCAACAAATACGATATCACATTTGCCAACGAAACAAATTTGAATCTTCATTCGCCAGCGGCAAATATAATCCGGTTTTATGTCCTTAAATCGGTATAGCTGGTTGTAAGTTCAAAATGAGTGAGTGTTGTCGTTCTTCAGAAATCCGATCTAGGAAGACTTATCTATTTCAAACGAAACTAAATGTCTAATCGTTGCAATGGTGGGCATTCATCATTTCTTTATTCATTCCTTATGCTGGTAAGTGTCATAAAGCAATGAGCGCAAGGGCAAGGGTTTGGTGGTTACAAATCTCAATTTGTGGTGTCTCCGAATGAAAATTGTATGCATTGTAATATTAGCGAATCACATCAGCTGAGCCAATCGCAAGACACGAGAGTTCGATATACTCAACGGTGCAGCGGGTCGATGCATATCGGCATTCCGCTTTTGTTTCTGTTGTTGAGGAGCTCATTCCTCCTGAGGTCGTCCAACATGAATTCCCGACGCATGCACTCGAAGCTATCCATTGACTTTGGTGCATTGCTGAGGGTTTTGGGTACTGATCGCTAAATAGTTTTCGAACACTGAAAGTGCAAATGTGGAAGAATTCCAACTATCTTTGAAGCAATCGAACGTTATATTTTTGATCGAAATTCCATCATATATTCTGAAATCCGTCAACCGAAAGAGAACCGCTAGGAATTTGCAACGCATTTACAATTTTGAACCCCGGGGTAACCATTTAAATTGTATTATTGTAATCAAAATTAAAGAAATAAAAAAAAAATCTTGTACGCAATAATTTCTTATATTTTCAAAAAGAGTTGCCACCTGATAAAACAAATTAAATTCAAATTATTTTTAAGTTAAATAAATTATTGGCCTATGAGTATCCATCGAAATGGTTTTGAAAAGGCTTTATTTCTTAATTGTATGTAGGAGGATTGCCACCTGTTTCAAAAAGCAAGTTCGACTTAAATAAAGGCAGAAAATTTAAATGTATATCCTGATATAGATGTCAGACGAAATAGGCTGTGGTTTGAAAATATTTTACAGAGGGTTGCCACCTTGTTACTAAGTTAGGTTCAGCATAAGCAATAGGTTAAATAAATTACGTCAATGTGAATATAAATCAAAATTGCTTTGAAGAAACTTTATTTCCGAACTGTATGTAGGAGTGTTGCCACCTGATTTTATAATTAAATTCAAATTGAATTAGGAGGATTAGATAATTTAAATATGTATCATAATAAAAGTGTCAGACGAGAACGTTTTAACGAGGTTTTGGTTTAAAAATAATTTGAACAGGATTGTCATCTGTTTGAAAAGTCGAAATAATTTAAATTATATGAAATATTGAAATATTGGCGTCAAATAAAAGTGTATTAAGAAAAATTTAGTTTCATCATTTATCCCATTAAAGGGGATTTCCACTCGTGTAAAAAGTTAAACTCAAATTATTTAATAAAAAAAAGTATCCTTACTAAAATATCGTGAACACATGCGGCAACGGAAATATTCATTGAGTACGAAATTAACAGCAAAAATATTCAGCTGCGATAAATGCAACCAAAGTCCTTATCATTGCATTCAACGACGCCTTTTTCTCCAATTAGTGTTTATCATTTGCACAACTATCGGTAAATTGCAATATTTTAACATTAACCAATACACGCAACACATACGCATCATGAGCATCAAGACCAAATGCGCTCTCATTGACAACAATTCGAACTTATTTCGGCGGCCAGAGCTGCCACATGCAAGCAGTATGCTACTCACTCACACTTATTCGACCAGCATACCAATACAGCACCCACCCATCGATGACAGCTGTCAAATACTTAGTTAGGCGCTCTCAATACTCAGAGCACTAGTGCTGAGACTTTCAACATCGCCTCCTTCAACCGCGCTGCTGCTCCCAAAACCGCTTTAATATTCATTCAACGACAGTATACTTAAAGCTTGTTGGAGACTTCTTGTATTTGTGTAAAAATTTCGATTTGTTGTTGTTGCTTTGCGCATGTGCGTAATTGTGGTGCGTGTTAATGAGTATGTGTGTGTGTGTGTGTGTGTGTTTGCGAAGCTATGTGCATTTCAAGTCGAAATTGACAGCAAATTACAAAAAAAAAGCTATAACTATAAAAACTTAATTTGAGTGTAGATTTACGATTTTCAAATTGCAATTGTACGCGACGATGCTGTCTACTTATGTACGTAGCTACACACGTATGCCTTTCTGCCTACATCTATGCTTGTGTGTGCGGATATGTTTATCTTCTTGCGTTTTGTTGCTGTGTTGAAAAGGGGCGAATGCTAATTCTTACGGAGACTTTTGCCACTTCGCCTATGCGTCCTGCGCCGCCCACCAACGTCCCCTCTCGACGACACAAACCGCCACGAATGGAAAAAAGTATGCACAAACGCACAAAATTTATATAGAAAAAACATGGTTGGCCGTGAGCGAAACGTGTACGCGGTAGGAAAACGCAAATTTTATAATTTTCCTACCACGCATTTTTCCATCCAATTTGCTATTTTGCCTATTCATTTGTAATCCTTTCACTTCTGAATTCACATCAACCTGAAAGTATGTTTCGCACCTTCGCTTTTGTTGCAATCGTTCACTGCTTTGTTGTTCCTGCACACGCTTATCACACCCACTCTGCGTTACAACAGCGAACGACCAACAATTCTGTCAATTTTTCACTACAAATTTCACTGCATTGGCACATTTGAAATTTTCATGACTCCGAATTAATTTTCAGTTATGTACCTTTGCGCTTAACAATGTCTGCTCACATTTGTTTCCATAGCTCTTACTTTTGATTATTCGCGCATTTGAGATATTTTCAACTTTTATTGGCGCAACATTCTCACATTAAAGTTAAGTCTTAAAAGCTAAAATTTTCCTCTTCAATGCTTTTGTGTTAAATTTTCCACTTTATCTGTTCTTCTTCAACTAAATATCCGCCACTATCCGCGCCACAAACAGCGTTAGCAAAGCGGTCGCGTACGTCTGCCACACACTTCTGCCTTGGCTGCTGGGAAATTTCGCTGTTCAGCCTTCCAAAATCAGTCTTTCATTTTGAATGCTCCAATCTTGCTCAGCTGAGATGCTGGGGCGGCCTTTGTTACTGTGTGCTGTTGACTCCAGAATCTCTCTCTCGGCCGCTTTTCCGCGAACGGGAACAACTGTGTGAGCGCGGGCCTGTATGTGCACAGCATCCTTACAAAATTGAGCAAATTTACTCCAAAATCGAAAACTGCGAAGAGAAATCTCATTTCAGCAGCGGTTTTGCATGCTCACGCTCATGTCTGCTCGCGCTTTCGCCGCTCACATGCTGTCACTGTGAAGTAGTGTCTCACTTTTGCCCGCTCTCGCAAGCCATCATTCATTTTCTCATTTAACCGACTTTTCCATATGACCAATTCACATCTTTTGTCTTATTGTGTTGTATTTGTATGTCGAGTGCGTCGCACCCAAATTCTACACAAACAATATTCCCTTCCACACATATATATACATACACGCTCATGCGAAAAGGCACTTGCTAGCTTGCTTGTTTTGCTCTCATTTGCGCTCCTCTGCAAATTTGGTTTTTTGCATGTGTTGGCAACCCTTTTAGCATCTCCTCGCTCAGACAACTTTGCAGCTTCGACAGCAGCTGTGATGACAAGTGACCCGGTTTGCAATATATTTTTTTACGGAGCAAGAGTCATCAATACCACTGATACTAAAACCCACACGTTTTGAGGTAGAAGGATTCAAAGTATGAGAGCAGAAAAAATATACAAATTTTAGCTTCCACTATTTGGTATAAATACTATGAAAAATGGCAACACCTTGCTGGAGACGATGTAATTAAATAATTGTTTGCGGCAAGCCAGCACAAAATTTTTCGAAAAAATTTATTTCACACATTTTTGTGTGGTAATACTTTCATTAATTTGAATACTTTGCAATTTTTCCCATATTCTTAGTTTTTTAAAAAATGTCTTAAAAATGCTAATAATAAAAACTATTACCTTTAATTTTTTCATACTGTCACGAGCTATTAAGTTAATTTAAATTTTTCATTGAGCAAAGTCCCCTATTTTTCCACGCATATGAGTTTTTTCTATCATTAAAATATTAATTTTTTTTACTATTTTGGCAGGTGGCAACCCTATCCGAAAATATATAAGAATTAAAATTCACTCCAGCAGCCTTCACTTGATATCCATTTTCATACCTACTTACACATTTAAATAATTTTAAGTTATGTATATTAGATGGCATCTCTCTCTGAAAGTACTTCTCTTTTAAGGTAGGCTTACTTCGCTTAATTAAGCTCAAAGCAATTTTTACCAGGGTTGCCATTTTGAATTTAATTAAATATGTCATATCAACAATTCTAAAATGTGTAAAAACCCAAAAAAGGTGGAAAAGCCTTGCCAAAAAATTTTGTTTGAACAGATTTGCCACCATTGAAGAAATATTTGAAGAAAACACGAAATTTAGGTAAATTATATTACGTATTATTTTTACATTTATTATTTTACGATACAAAAACAAAATATTTTTTTAAACAAATATTTGCTTGATCGTGGCTGCCACCTACTTTACAAATATGTTCATTGAATGTATTGTTTTAGTTAACTGAGCAATAACGGCATGAGTATTTAATGAAAGCCTTTTAAAAAGGTTTTAGCACATGAATGTTTGTGATTGGCGTTGCCACCTGTTTACAAAAAATGTAAATGAATTAAATTTTTCGGTCGGTTAGCTTACGTTAAATCGGCGAATTTAAAAAAGAATTAAAAAATAATTTTTATTGATGTCTGCGTTTGTTTATACGAGTTATAAATTATAATAGTCACAGCTACATAGAATAGCTATTAATGAAGGTTGCCAAACATTTATGAATAAAACACACAAAAGAAAAAGTGCTCCATACAAAAGCATGCTTGATGAGGGTTGCCACCTAATTCAAAAAACTTAAGAGATATTAAAAAAATTAAAATATTGAAATCAAACTTAATACATTTCCAAACTCTTTTCGTTGGATACCATCTAAAAGACATCTAAAATTATAGACGGCATAGACGTTGACCCCGATCAACTCGTCAATTCGAAATTAGTATATCGGAAATTAAGTGAAGTTGATCCGGATTAAAACCTGGAGTTAATTTCAAAAATAAATGCGGTCAGGGGCATTTTCGATGCCAACACTGAACAAAACGGCCAGCTTTTTAGTGCAGGCGTGTGTATGTATTTTCAAGGGCAAAAAAAACATAACTTGGGCTACGAACTGCTACCACATCCCCCATTTCACATTTAAATAACATTATTTAAAACAACGATGCACACGCCATAGAAAAAAAGAGCTGGCCAGCTCTTTATAACAAAAGAAAAATGCAGCTTCCGAAATAACTGGTTATGGAATTGAAGTTCTTGTATGCAGTATCTCTTTTCTTACTAAATTTTCGCTGGCTCATTTTTTGAAATTCTTCGAAGTAGACAGCACATCGCCAGCCAACCAGCAAATTTCAAACGAATTTCAGTTCATTCTAGCCACCTCTGTGTTGAATTCTTCGCATTCGCTAGTATTTCTGTTTTTTATATACTGTTTTTGTTGTTATGATAAGCTTGGAAATTTCATTCAACGCTTCATTTGAACTACCCCCCTGACAAAGAAATAATTAGTACAACAACCCCCCTCGACCGTTCAAAAGTCAAACCGTAACACTAACCTTAAATCAAGTTGCAGAACTGTTGAGCGGCCAAGAACAGAGCACAGTTGAAAGTAAATAATACAACACAACACAATAAACCACAAGAAGCCATCCCTTCTTCTAACAACATCATTGTGACATTCGACCACCCCCTTCATTAGCCCATCAACGAACCAACCAACAACCCTAACACTGAATGTATGTATGTATATCGATATCGTGGTGTATGGCTGTGCTGCCGACCGTTGCTGCTGTTTGTTGCTGTTCCTACTGTTTAGGAATGTTGAAATTCTTGAACTCCGCAAGACGACGCAGCCAGTGATGATGGTCCGCGCGCAGACAATTGACACAGTGACACATACTCGCATCTGGCAGCAGTGGCGGCGGTGGCGCCAATAGCAATGACAAGCATGTAAAGAAGAAGAAGAATTACAACGAGCAATCGTGGCCAGCGAGCAGCTGTATCTGAAGTAGTAAGCATATTTTTGGGAGCTAAATAAAAGCAAGTTAGCGTGAGTTTATAGGTGCTCTTCAGCGAGTGCGAGAGCACAGGAGACACGGGCAACAAAGTTGCAAACTGCGCAGACACCGCTGTTCCAGCTGCTTTTGCTGCTGCTGCTGCTGCTGCTGCTTCTTCATATCTTCTTCTGCACGGCTGAGCGCAAAGTAAACACACACGCCTTTTTCACCGTTGACTGTGTAACTGTAATGTAAGCGTTCGCACAGCATCATATGTATGAGCAGCAAAAAAAAAGTGGGCCAACTTCGGCTGCATTGTGAAGTGCTGCTCCCCTAAGGGTGGGTGCACCCGTTAAGTCTCCATTCATTAAGGTAGAAGTCTACAAGCGTCACGCAATTTTGTTATCAGTCAAAACTGGAACAGAGCATGGATACTTTGAAGAGCGAAATTTTTTAAGAAAGAGTCTTTAAAAGAGCAAGTAGAGG